CTTAGTCATTGATCCCAGGCCAAATAAGGGATCATTGAAGGGGCAACTGTGAATTTGAAATGTTTCAAAAACTGTTCATACCATGCATGTCAACATGTCACTGCATCCTCTGTGATCACATTCACCATGACTACATCATGTAGATCTATGTGAATCCAAGCCATATAAAGTTTGGGATATTCGTCTCCACCGAATTGTTCGACATGTTGCCAAACAACATTATGGCAGCATACGACAGATGAGAATTGTGCTACGAAATTCCAGCTATGTGCAGAAAATATTAGCAAATATCCAAAATCAACTTGCATACTGAAATTGATTGTTCTTTCCATGGGGGAATCCCTCGAAAAATACAATATCAAATATATATGTGTCCAATTTATGTAAGAAATCGAGACTAATTCTAATCCAAAACCTTTTAAAAACGAATCTTTTCCACTTGTTTAAACTTATTACTAAGATATATCATTGACTCTGATATTATTTATAAGTCTTTCGAAAAACAATAAACTAAAAAACATGGTATCAATGAATATAAATTCATAACATATAAGGAATTAACATATTCCAACCTAAAACTTAACTTATAAGACGATTAATTTTTTCATTTCTACGATGTGACTTAAACCCACGTTTATATTCCCATGAAATCAACTTTAGAGAATAAATTTAAAAGATCTTTGACATGTTGCATTTCCGGACATTCTAAAAGTAAGTGTTCTAACAATGAACAATGGAAGGTAAGAAAAGAAAATAGAACTATGGTATATGGGCCCGTTATAACGAAGAACTTTCCTCCCCATATAGAAGTGCAATGCAACTATTTTTAACTGTGAATTACGTCGAAATTGTTTGCTTGCTGTAAGGGTTAAGCAGAAGATAATGGTCCCAAAAAAAGGTAACATCCTTTCTGGGTCTTAGCACACATGAACTGGCAATTTCATATACCTGCCAAAAATTGTTTTATGCTGGCATATGAAAAATTATTTATTTCATATTCATAGATATTTATAAAATTATTATTTTGCTTTAATTTGAAGTATTAGCATGATTAAATGAACAAAAAACTCTTCATTTTCATCGTTTGAATAAAAAACAGAAAAAAGTTGTTTTCATCATTTACCTTTTTATGATGTTACCGTGAATTTATAAGATGAAATGAATTACTGTGTGGTATTCAAATACACTGTTGGTGGATGCCGAGAATCCAGGAATGAAATAAAGAGAGGGAAAAGACGTTTAACTGAAGAAGATGATCCGATTACAGAAATGCAGAAAGCAATTGTATTTTGTGTTTTGCTAACTTAGCCTTTTTCCATTAATGCACCACGAATATTTTTGCTAGCTATGAATACACAATTGCCTTTTAACTCCTATTTGGTAAATGAAGTTTTTCAACGGGAAGCATCACAATGCCAGAAAATATATATATAGATATATAGATATATTTTTTTATGCTTAATATTCTTTTCATAAAACTTAAATTTAATTAACTAAACTATGTAACATAATTTTAATAGTCTTATGTAGAATTTTCAAAAATTAAAAAATATACTACAATAGTCTATAGTTATGAATTTTAAAGAATCATGTCAATAGTTATTATATTTAAATATTAACTAATCCATTAACTCTAAAATTTTACTCTTAATATATAAAACTATTCTGAAAAATGGCAATTGTTAGGAGACAGAATAGTATAAAATGTCAAGGCTGGTGAGGATATTAGTGATATACAGAAGTGGCAAACAAAAATTCACAGAGAATTTACAGACATGGTCAGAATTCGCATAAGAAATTATCAGCTTCTTAATATAAAACCTTAGTTTATTATTCAAATTTGTTATTTTGGTTCATTTTTATCTCTTTAGTATTTTTGGGTCTAATTTAGTCATTTAATTTTTTCAAAAAAATCAATATATATATATATATATATATATATAACTTTTATCTTTTTAATTCTTTTTTAAAATATTTCAAAATTTATATATACCTTTTAAAGTGATTTTTTAGAATTAAATATCAAATCATTCCGCTTAAACATTCAAATTATTTTATTTTTTACTTTTTTCAATTGTAACTTTTTACACTTGTAAACAATAAATAATTTGAATATATAAATTATAAAATTATTTTAATATTTGATTGTTTAAAAAAAATTATGTTAAATCAAAATTTTAAATAGATATTAAATTAAAAACCATTACTGTCATGAGAGAATAACAGTATTATGTGGCAAGATTATGATTTCCCACATGATTGTTTATGTTTTTTTAAGTAAAATAAAATAAAATAAAATAAAAATTTTACGAATTTGACACATGTATAAACACGGTGTTAACATCAAGAAATAATCCAATTAAACTTTTTAAAAAAAATTAAAAAACTAACTTGAACCTAAAAATAATAAAAAGACCAAAATTAACCAAATCAATGAATTAGAGGTTAAACCAATTTTAAAATAATAAATTTATACATATTTTTTATACATTTTTTCTAATTATTTTTTATATTAACATAATGTGAGCTTAAATTAGGTTTAAATCTTTAAAGAAAAAGATTTATAATATATATAGATGACGTGAGTATATTATATCATAAGCTAGGAGAGAGAGATATTTGGGAAATGCTGTTGCTGTAACCCAGATTCGTGGGGTGAACTGGGTCCTCTCAAACTTGGTATATTTTTCTTTCCTTTCCAATTTAGAGAAGAAAAAAACACGTCAGAAAATGAACATTTTCATCTTATATATATACTAAAACTGTGCTTGTAGTTGCTGATAATTTAAGGAAAATGTTATTGTTCAAGATCGTCAATTACTGAATCCTGTTGACATTATACTTATTAATTCGTGTGAAATATGACAATTTTCGGAATTTAATTTTCCATACACAAGAATCCGTTACCAAACTATCCTAGGCATAAAGATGCATGTGAGCGTTAAAGTGAGATCTGGAAAGGTTCAAAACTTTTTGGTACAAACAACCGCATGGGCAAAACTCATACCATTTTATCATCGTGATTTCGTCACGTAAGTTAACAATTTTATTATATATGGGTTTGCTATTTTTTGAGTTGGTTAGTAGATAAAAATATTCTATGTTATCCATTCTTAAAAAAAGTTTTAAGGTTAAAAGTATTTGAATAATTTTTATTATTAAAATTAAAAAGAATAAAAAATCTCGTACATTTTCTCATATCTCTCTCATCCCTTATTCCTCTAAACCCTCTCTCTTTCACTCCAACATTATTTCTGTCATTTCTACAATAATTTTAATTAAAAAAATCAGAAACCCTAACGAAAAAAAACTTAAATAAGTTAGCAAACTTTATATATATATATATATATATATATATATATATATTACATAATTAAATATTTTAAGACAATTATATTTTATTAGTCAATTTATTAAAGTAATTTAATTAAGATAAATTTATAATCAAGACATATGTGCCATAAAATATAATTGTATAGAGACAAAAAAATGATATTTTAATTTGATGATTGACCAAATTAAAAATATTAAAATTAAAGGAAATAACGGACAAAGATTACATAAACAAGGATTATAGTACTCGTTTGTAAACACTTACATATTATTTTTAGTTTTTTTTCTTCATCCGATCAAAAGAAAAAAATTTAAAGTGTTATAAAATTATATCAAATATTTTTTTATTTATATTGTTTTCAATTTTGTGAATCCAAATACATTCTTGCATGTATAAAATATCCCATATAGAGTATTGTTGATTGATTGGTTTGGGTACATAATCCAAGAATAGAAATGTTTCATGCTCTTCCTCTTACTTGTGACGACAAACGTCATCTATATCTGGAAATCAATTTAATAATGGCAGGCATGCTCTCTTACCTGCGACTAACGACAACCTAAATCTAGAAATAAATTTAATGATAATTCTTATGCGCGGTACAATTGTAATTTTTTAACATCCTTTTAAAGTTAATTATATACTTAGCATGCTTTGTAATTAGTTAACAGCATAAAAGAATAGTAATATATCAAAATTAAATTCAAATATCATTTAACTTTATATTGAATAATAACGTTAGTAAAGAATTTGACCCTCTTTTAACATCTTGTGTTGCATATTTTTCTCTCTAATAAAATCGTGTGTTGTGTAGTACATAATGATGTTACAAGTACTAGGAAATGGCCAGCTGTATCCTGCTTGCAAGTTTTGATCGAACTAAGAAGTAGTAATAAATTTCACACGTAAGATCTTCCTAAGTCGAAGCAAGTCTTACATACCCTTCACTCGTTAGTATAAATAACACCCTTTAGTTGCTCACTCCACCACAACGCACAACACAACACAACACAACACAACCTAGTAAGAACAACCTTCACATTTCGTCACAATCAATACTGTGTTCTCTATTCTGCTTTGCGAAGAACAGGATGAAGATTGTGTATGCAAATGTGCTCCTTGTGTTCCTCATCCTTAGCTCCTCTTTCTTGGAAATCTCAATGGCTGGTTCAGGTAATTGACTCCATCACTTGTTATATGTCACTGCATGTATGTGTTATATGTCACTTGGTTGGTTGCTACATGATAGGAGTGCATTTGTTGTAAATGGTGAAATCGATTATAATTGATGTGTTGTGTGGTGGATTTAGCTTTCTGTGACTCAAAGTGTAAAGGGAGGTGTGCGAAGNCAAAATTAAATTCAAATATCATTTAACTTTATATTGAATAATAACGTTAGTAAAGAATTTGACCCTCTTTTAACATCTTGTGTTGCATATTTTTCTCTCTAATAAAATCGTGTGTTGTGTAGTACATAATGATGTTACAAGTACTAGGAAATGGCCAGCTGTATCCTGCTTGCAAGTTTTGATCGAACTAAGAAGTAGTAATAAATTTCACACGTAAGATCTTCCTAAGTCGAAGCAAGTCTTACATACCCTTCACTCGTTAGTATAAATAACACCCTTTAGTTGCTCACTCCACCACAACGCACAACACAACACAACACAACACAACCTAGTAAGAACAACCTTCACATTTCGTCACAATCAATACTGTGTTCTCTATTCTGCTTTGCGAAGAACAGGATGAAGATTGTGTATGCAAATGTGCTCCTTGTGTTCCTCATCCTTAGCTCCTCTTTCTTGGAAATCTCAATGGCTGGTTCAGGTAATTGACTCCATCACTTGTTATATGTCACTGCATGTATGTGTTATATGTCACTTGGTTGGTTGCTACATGATAGGAGTGCATTTGTTGTAAATGGTGAAATCGATTATAATTGATGTGTTGTGTGGTGGATTTAGCTTTCTGTGACTCAAAGTGTAAAGGGAGGTGTGCGAAGGCTGAGCTTAAGCACAGATGCTTGAAGTTCTGTGGAATCTGCTGCAAGAAGTGCAACTGTGTGCCATCTGGGACTTACGGAAACAAGGACGAGTGTCCTTGCTACAGGGACATGAAGAACTCTAAGGGCAAGGGCAAATGCCCTTGAATTTGTTATCCCTTTCATTGCAGAACACTTTCCATTTTCTATGTTCATTTCCACTCTACCAAACTTCATAATAATACTGTGCCACGGATCTGTCTAGCTATTCCCCTCTACTTTATGTATTGGCTTAGCTAGCTAATTAGCTTACTATATATGATTACTGTAATCATGTTCCTATATCTACTGATTCATGAATCATATATCATCATTATTATTAATTGGGTGTGACGAGAAGGGTAATTTAATTGGTTTCATTGTCGTCCTTCTGTATACACGAAAGGTTCTAGTTTTAATTAATTTAGTCTTCTGTGAACAATCAATGTTGTTGATTCCTTTTTAAAGTATCTTTTACCTAAAATTAGCTTAAAAGTTACTTATAATGGAAAGTTGGTTCGTTAACTCATTATATCGTAAGTAATTTGTTAGATGATTTTGTTAAGGTAACTAATAAATATAAAATGAAATATATAGATATGTTATTTTTAAACTTTTTTATATTTTATTCAAAATCCAATTATTTTAATTATATATTAATTTTACTTTCAATTATTATATTATTTTATGTATATTGTGTATCATACTATTTATCTGAGGCTACATTTGCAATCATTCATTATACTTTTCGGGTAGATTCTGCATTACGGGGTGAAGATTGAGTAACATAAGTAAATAATGTTAATTTAAATATAATTTTAATTAATTATCTTAAAATAATAATAATAATAATAATATAGATTATGATCGATAAGCATACAGAATAGTAATAATAAATATATATATATATATATATTTTATCAGGTTTTTAACATATTCCATCGTATTTATATATAAATTCTAAATTGCTTTTATTTTTAATATTTAATGGATAAGAGATTTGATAATCAATCTCAAAATCAGCATATTATAAAGAATGGAAGGTTGTTGTTGACATGTAACAAAATTACGAAAGAACAAATACTATGAAAACAAAAAAAGATTTCAAATATTAAGTAAAGGGATTGGGGTGAGTTAGCAGTATTTGAAATTATATATTTTTCTTTTAGAACATTAGTTAAATAATGTTTATTCAGTGTATCGCAGCAACTAAAGATTAGAGCTGTCAAAATGGGTAATCCGACTCGATCCGGCCCGGTTTATCACGGGTTGGTCACTTAGTGAACAACTCAACCCGGTTTACTTATTAGCGAGCTAAAAAAATTTGAATCCAGCTCAATCCACCACGGATTGGTGGGTTAAACGGGTTAACTCACTCGGTCATTTAGTTATAAGTTTTTTTTAAATAAAAAAAAATTACAATTTTTTTTAGAGATTAAATATGTTTTTAATCCTTTTATCACGTGATTTTAAGTTTAGTTTCTATTTAAAAGTTTTTTCATTTTAAATCTCTTAGTTTTGAAAATATTATAAATAATTTTTAATTTTACATGGCGTTAAATTTTGTTTAAAGTAACTAACGATGAGCATAGGTCTATGAACTGAATTATGTCTCTACCATCTTCGATCCTTCAATGGCCATGAAGTCGTTCGCCCGCCACGTGGGCCACCAACCGAGCTCTCATCCACCTGTTCTGGTTAGTCACCCGGCCACCCCATCATCCAGCGACACTACCGTTCTGTCCAGTAAACTCTCGAATCAGACACTACGGCACACCCTTGGCAAGTCAGAGCATATCACTCAGGAACGCCAAGAGAAGGTGTTCCCGACGGGGAAGACGGATGAGGAAGAAACTGCAGGGTCTTGTTCCGGCGGAGGGGGTTGAGGTGAAGCACATCGAACGGGTGAACGGGTGCATGTTTCTCGGAGGATAGTGGTTGTTTTTGTGATGATGACCATGGCTGATTTCTGTGACCAGTTATTTGGTTTTCAGGATGTGCTGTTTGATAACCGGAATGATCGGCTTCAGTTTTCTGGGAACAATTTGGGGGCAATGTGGCCGGGAGATGGGAAGCCGGGTCTGTGGCTGAATTCAATTTCAAGGATGGGAGCAGTGTACAACTTGATTGCAAGGGAAGAAGACTCGAATGATGTTTGAAACTGATTGGATTTGAAACCAATGGGTTATTTATAGAAAGAAATCTTCCGTTCCAATTCTTGACCTCTACCACAATAACTTGAAACTTCCAATTCTATGCACAAATTCATCAACGGTGCTGGGATGTTTTTGGCTGCAGCTATAGTGTTTGCGCCTGAATGTTCAGACTAATGAATTATTCTAGTTTAAAGATTTTCATCAATGATTGCTTTAACTACAACAATATTTGTATTGATTCAACTACAAATATAACGCTATTTGGTAAAAAATACATACATTTTTTGTTTCCTATAACCTCGCTAGCAACAAGAAAGGTTGAGTTTAAAGAACCCAACTATTGAACCAGTTTTTAACTTGGTAGTGAATTTTGGAGCTGATTGTTATTCAATGAATTACTAAAGTCTTATATTAGATAGCTTTATTAGTACTAATAAGGTACTATGTTTTTGTGTATCTGTGCACGGAATATATTTTAGCCAGATACTATTTATCTATTCAACCACTGGTGGACAGGTAACACATAATTAAAGAATAGTCAGTTTTAAAAAATAATTAAAGCCAAGATTGAGTAGCAAATATGATTATAATATACGAAATCTCAATGTTTTGGGAATCTTATGATATTAATGATCTCTATGGAGCTGCAATCAGCATATATACTAGTTATACTCTGAATTATTAAAAACAAATGGGTAGTACTTCTTTGCATCCTCATTACATAACAAGTCATATTTTCATTAGATGCCAATTATTAAGATACCTTTCTCTCCTTTTCCCTCTAACCATCATCATTAAAAATGGCATTGAAGCAGTGCCACTCTTCATGACCAAATCCTGTGACTAACAGCTGCTGAGGTCCTTGTTTGTTTTTATAAAAATATTGATCCGTTACAAGAATGACCATTATTGCTATATTACATCTTGTTTCCACAGGTAATTCAAGCTACAGGTGCGCTAAAAATCAGTGGAAAATACCTCATTGGTGGAAACAACCTCGGAGTAATGGAAGAGAAGGTAGTCGTGGACGAGGGGCTGCTGGGGAACTACACAGAACAGGTGGAGAGCCTCGGCTTGTGGCCCACGTGGCGGGCGAACGAAGTTCGGACTAGTTGAAGGGTTGAAGATGGCAGAGAATAAACTCGTAACTGGTGATAAGATGTGTGCTGCCGTTAGTATATGTCAACAAAAGTTAACGTCATCCAAATTAGGGACTATTTATAACATTTTCAAAACTAAGAGGACTAAAATAAACAAAACTTTCGAACAGGACTAAACCCAAAATTCGCGTGATAGTTAAGGGACTAAAATCATATTTAACCTTTTTTTTAATTCAATTTAACATAAAAGTTACAAATGTTGTATAACTTCATAGACAATTCAAAATAAATAAAAAAGTATTTTATAATATTTTGATAATTTTTGTAAACACTTTTTTATTTATAATATTAGAGTCTTGAATAAATAAATTTATAATATTTTCCTCTTGAATTCTTTTTCTTTATCTAACATCTACAGTATAATAAAAAAATGTTAACTACTAATATTGAAACACAAAATAATAAATAATTAAATTAAATTAAGTGGGTTGGTGAGCCAATCCGGCTCACCACGGGTTCAACTCGATAAGACCGGGTTCTAATGAGCCAGATTGAAAACTAGCCCGCATAAAAAATTACATTTTTTTCAAACTCAACAGTGCTTAATTAGCAACTAACTAAGATTGCCACTTTAAATAAGTTTTGATCCATCAATTGAGAAAGAAAAAAAGGCTTAATTAGCACTCCTTAGTGTAAGTTTGAGTGGAAGCAGCAACAAAGCTCCATTTTGGACGACTTGTACTTACATATTCTCATATCTAATTATTTGCTCTACGAAGAAATCTACAATTTTACATTTACACGCCCATTGTTAAATGGCAGTTGAAAATATGAAACTCAATTTAGAGTGTGTTAAGTTCAATGTCAGTCATCCAAACGAATTACATACAAATAATAATAGTTATATTCATTATTTTAATCGAACCGAACCGAACGGCCGAGGCGAACCGAACCGAGCTTACCTGACCCGAACCGAGACGAGTTGAGTCGAGCCGAGCCGAGCCGAGCCGACTCCGAAGGGCAACCAACCTAACCGAACCGAGTCGAACCAAGGCGAACCGAATCGAGGCCAATCGAATTGAGCCAAGGCAAACCGAGCTTACCTAAGCCTAGCCTAGTAGAGCCAGTGAGCCGAGTTGAGTTATCGAGTCAAACGAGCCGAACCGAGTCCGGTCGAGTTGAATCGAGCCGAGCCGAACCTAGTCGAGCCGAATTGAGTCGAGCGAGTCAGAGCTTACATGAGCCTAGTGGAGCCGAGTTGAGACGAGTCGACCCGACCTGAGTCGGGTCAACCCAAACCGAGCTGAGCCGGTTAGACCCGAACCAAATTGAACCGAACCGAACCGAGCCGACCCGAACCCAACACAACTTAACCCAACACAACCCAACCTGAACAGAACCGACCCGGCCCTACTCGAACCAAACAGAATCGACCCGATCCTACCCGAACAAATCTGAACCGAACTGATCTGAACCGAGTTGACCCTGAACTGAACCCAACTCAACCCAACCCAACCCAATAGAACCCAACCCAACCAACCAACCAACAACCGAACCAAACCCACAGCCCATCCCAACCGAACCCAACCCAACTCGAACCCCACCCGACCCGACTCGAACCGATCAAAACCGAACCGACCCAAACTGAATCGAACTCAACACAACCGAATTCCAACACTACCACATACCGGTCATCCAACCCAACTACCCACCCCACCCAACCTACCCCACACGAACGTCCCAGACCTAACCAGAACAGTACCCGACCCGACCTAAACCGAACCCAATTAAACCAACCCAACCAAACTCGATCCGACCCAACCGAGCCAAAACAAGTCAAACTGAAGCTGAACCGAGTCGAAGCCTAGGGGGCCGAAATGAGCCCAACCGAGCTCGAATTGAGCTGAACTAAACCAAACCAAACTGAAATGAGTTGAACTGAAGTGAAACCTTTCCTCACGAGTCGAGCCGAACTGAATCGAGTCAAACCAAACCAAACCAAATGAGCTGAGTCGAGCTTTACCGAACCAATTGAACCGAGTCGAACCGAACCGCCTGACCCGAGCTAAACTGAACCAAGTCAAGTCGAGTCGACCGAGCCGAACTGAACCAAACTAAATCAAACTAAATTTATCCAAACGAACAAAGCCAAGCCAATCCGAGCCAAACCCGAAGTGAGCCTAGCCGAATCAAACTGAGTCGAGCCAAGCCAAACCGATTTGCTAGAAATTATACTAACTATACTAACTCATTAAAAGGAAAAATAAAACTATTTGCTAGAAATTGTAAAACAAAAATTGCTAAAGAAATACGCAAAACTAAAACAAAGATATTCTAAACTAAACTATACTAAGCTTAAGAGGGAAATAACTATGAGATGAGTAAAATCTCACGCTTAATAAGGACATAGCACAAAAGGGTAATCTCAGTTTTAATATACTTACATTTCATCATTTGGTGTTGGGACAATGATAAAGACAAAATGCAAGACTTTGATGGCAGTCACAACTCTAAAAGTCATGCTAAGAGACTCTCAACAAGTGAAAGAGATAAAGCCTCAGCCTCTAAAAAGCTAAAAAGGAGTATCAAATGTTAAGAAAGTCCATGAGATGTTTAAGACTCTAAGAGACCCATATAACTAATAATAGGATCATTTAGAGTATATAAATAAATCTTACTTTACAAACCAATTTTTATGAGACTAAATAAATTTAAAGTTCATTTCTATCAAAGTTATTATTTAAAGTCTATCCTCAAAATTTGTTATTTGTTGGACATTGTTTCCTCACTCGTCGTTATCTAATCACTCATTAACCTCACCTTACAATCAAGTCAGTTTTGTGGGATTCATTAGATTTAAAATCTATAACATTTCGAACCATTTCTTATAATCAAGGAAAAAGGACTAAGTAGTCTACTACATATTAATGACCAAACAAAGAGATATAAAGAATTAAATCTCACCTATTACATCTAATCATAACAAAATACATTATTGAGAGAGAAAAAATATGCATAAAAAAGTATGTTGCAAGCATTTGTCATTTTTGTTGGAGGTTGGTAGAAAGAGCTACGGCAGTATTGCCCCTTAAGCAAAATTATCCTCATGATCCATTTATTGAACATGTAATACAGAGGAACAACACTAGTACAGTTTCAGATTATCAGTTTGTTTCATCACATGCTTCAGCCCTCATGCAGGGTCGAAGTAATCTATACAGCAGAGAATTGTCCAATATAGTCCCCTCTGTAATTCAATCTGAATGGCTTTCAGTAGCAAGTCCTACTATCGCATGGAAGGTGACAAAATTGAAAAGAACTAAATAAACTACAAAACTAACACAATCGAAGACATAAACAATGTTTGGTACGACAGTAATGGAACAGACAGACAATGGAGACACGTGCAACCCCTTGTGGTATGAGTTGTCTTTGGAACTATACAAACAAAGTAACAGTAATGCATGTTTATATTCTTCCCTTGTTAAACCAAGCAAGTAACTTTTTGCCAAAGAGGTTGCTCTGCATCATCAAGGAATTTTGTTTGATTAGTTGCTCCAAGGCATTCCGGACATGACCCTGCAAGTCAAACTTCAGTAACTAGCAAAAGGGCAAATTGCCCAAACTATATTATATGGAAAATTAATGCACAAACATGCAGATTACAAAACACAAAGTGTTTTGAGTTTGCTGACCCTAGATGCTGACAGTGCTGATTTGATGACATAATTCCCGTATGGATCCACCAGAAGCATTGCAACATTTGGATTGTGGAGCAACTCCAGAGAAATATATGTTGAATGCGGTTCAACCGAGTCTTGAAAGAACTTCTCCACTACATTACTCCCATATTTGTTACAGGCCAGATAGAAGAATCTTCCTTCAAGCTGTCTCCATAGAGATTCTGCAACTCCTGGTATTCCCAGAGACAATAAATGTTGCACAACATAGTTGCTGCCAGGAAACATAAAAACAATAGTAACAGTCAAGCTTATTAAAATTCATTGACTAGAAAAGAGAAAACATCATATAGAAGGCAAAAACAAGAGACCCGTAACAGTCTTCAGCCAAGTGTGAAGCGTAAAACATGACAGAAGCTATCAGCTTCTTTTTCATTTCTCCTTGAGCATGGTTAATGCATGGCTGCAGCACACAACATCCGGTTTTATCTGTTGCAATATCAAAGCACTTGTTTGCCACCACATTCAGAAGATTCTGTGGAAAAAGTCTACAATCAAAACTTCATGAAGCCAAGAATACCAGATCAATGTACCTCATACATAATAAATTTATTTTTCTTTTGAATTTCTGTAAACAAATCGAATAGTGAGGCTTATAAACCTGCTACATCATTTCCATAACTTCAGTAGAACTTATCCAAACAGGGCTGTTCAGTCAAAAAGATATGAATTAAGGAAAAACAAAAATTTCTTAAAAGTATTTGAAATTAAGTAGCATGAAGATCTTAATACAGACTAATTCGATAAACATAGACTTTATTTCTAGTAAGAAACTTATAATTAAGACCTACCAAAGGTGTAAAAGTAACATAACAGGTATCATAAGTTACAGTAACTATTACTTGAAAGTGTATATAACCATATCAACAGTAACCAAGAAAACAACTTTCAAGTAAAATGGCATAAAAGGTCAAATTCAAAATGCTCTGAAATAATTATACAGGAGTGGAAAAATATGCTATCCCAGAATACACGGAGCTAAACTCACATCACTTAAATATAGTTCATTCTAAGAACCAAATGTCTAGCCTTGACATCAAACAAAATTTCTCAATATAGTTTCCTCAGTTGCTTGCTTGCAGAGGAAATGAAAGTTTAATATAAGGCAAAGTACACTAGAAAACAAACCGTGAACAATAGTTACCTCATTGTCTTCTCTAGGGAATTGTTTTAGACAATGCAGAATCACCCTATGACCACTCACATCCTTTGCCAATACAGCAGCACCGGGACTAAGAGCTGACATAATACGATTTCGTTGCTCCTGGGAGGTTATATACTCCAATAATTTCTCGACAGCCCGGGTTCTAGAAAAACAAAAGACCAATGGCTTTATTGTACATAAATATAAATATAAAAAAGGGACATATAGCAGCGTTCAAATACAAGAAACAAGGCAAGAAACTAGAGTAACCAGACAAAATTCTTGAAAAGGGAAAAGTCAACAGCCGTACCCATGGGGACTCAGGCAAATTCTGACCAACTGAAAATTACACTGAGTCACTCTCAACACTATCTGAGTCCGTTGCTCTTCGCTGCAAAGTTCCATCATCCTCTGAACAACATAGTTCCCAAAGGGATCAACCATCAAATCAGTCACGTGATTAATAAGCTCCAAGAAAATGATATCAAACTCTTCTCTCGTCAATGTTTTCAAAGTCTCCTGCAAAGTCCTACACATAAGTTGATCCGTAGCCAACGTCAAAACGCAACCCCGAAAATTGTTGAACCATTGGAGGCGCCTTTCATCAAAACTAAACCCCAGAATATTGAAACCATTACCACCTAAAATACCACCATTCAAGAAACCGTTGTCAGAGGTCTTCTGCGACTTCATCCCATTGGAGGAGAATGGTACAACAGGATAAACACCACTGAATGTGGGATTTTCTATTTGTCTCGTCAATGGTTTGGAATCAAGACACCCATCAGCATGACAAGAATAATTATTAAAAGTGAATGTGGGGTGCCAAAGATTGGCGGTCTGAGAAGTGGGAATCCCACCAGCCCAACTGTTGTAAGGGTGAATCTTTGAAGAACCATTGATACCATAAGGACTTTCGGCAACAAAATCAGAATGTGGGTAGTTGAAAGGAGAGGCGGAATGTGAGTAGTTGAAAGGAGAGGCAGAAACACAAAGACGAGAAAAAGCATCTTCTAGGGTTTGGGAAGGGTTATGGGATTGCGAGAAAAACCGAGACAGCCCCGCAGGTTGTTGAGAAGACGAGGAGACTGACTGATCATTTTGAAATGCAGACGATGATGATCCATGCGACATCATTGGGAACGAAAGGAATTGATGAAAGAATTAGAAGGATTTAAAGAAAGGGGTTTTAGAAAAAGGAATTAAGGATTTTTATTATTTGCTGAAAAAGTGAAAGGAAAAAGGAATTAGGGTGAGAAAGAGGGAAGAAGAAGAGTGTGTGTGGGAGGTGAGGAGGCAGTGTTGTTTAGCTGAGTAAAGAGAGTCTTCCAATGGGTAGCGTTCTGCATGCAATATATAGTAAAATTACATGCGAGAAAACCCAAAAGAAACTACTGCTTCGGCAGCTTTGGATGCGAACTCGTGTACCATAGTTTCTTTCTCTTATATATCCTCACTTTTTTTTCAAATATAACCTCTTATTAGTTTTATAATATGAAATTGCATATTTTCAGTGTACGATAGCAAGAAATGTTTCAAATTTTCCTTTCACATATTATAAGATTTCATTATTTAAATATATTTTTATCCTCCCAAATTAACTTGATCTATTCTCATAATTTCTTCATCAAAATATAGAAATTAATCCTCTAACAAACATTCTCACTTTGTAGTTGTTAAAACCATTTTAAAACTAACTTCATTCCTTACTATAAATAAGATTTATTGTTTCTTCTGTGAACTTCTTCACTTGTGTAACCAAATTTGAATTTTGTAAAGATACAATAAATGTGTGATCGCTTTTAACATTTATTAAAAACTATAAAATAATTTTTAAAAAAATACTATGTACTATTGAATAGTATGTTTTCTCCACTTTGCCTAAGTATATATACTTTGTTTTTACAACGCCCTTTCTCTTGAAAAAGCAATATAAAAGTACACAGTCTCTTTTAATCTTTAAATCTATAAAAAAAAATCAATTTATTAAAATAAGTTTTTAAATAAAATTAATATTAAAAATTGTATTAATAGTATTATAAAATAAATAAGTAAATAAATATTAATAATATAAAGTTAGTTTTTATTTTGTTTTAGTATATTTCAAATATATACACAATAATTTATCGATTCCAATCCAGATGGCTGACTGTTTTCTGATATATTTTTTTAATTTGGGTCAAACTCTGCCCAACTAAGAATACACAACTATTTTGTTTTGTTTTTGAACCCAAATGAATGCGTGTTTCAACAATTACCATTTTTTTAGTTTGGGTCAAAATTGTATCCAACTTCCACAATAAAGTTGGTCTCTTTGTAGTCCAAAAATGGCAAAAAGAAACACTAGCCATTTAGTTTGTGTTTCAGATACATTTTGAACCAATTGCATAAGGTGAACATTTTGAGCAGCTAAGTATTATATGGAATTAACTTCACATACACGGAGTCAATCAGTTGACTCAATATTTTCTTTTTTGGGAAAAAGATTAGATCAGGAATATGTAAGTATCATTTTTGGGAAAAACTTTAAGGGAGAAGAATGGATATGGAAAATAACATTTCCTCTTTCTGAAATTTGGCATATATAAATACAATATATATATATATATATTATTTCTTAGGTTTTATTATGTAAAATTCCTAAATTATCTCCACGGCTTATAAAAATAAATGTACTTTTGTAATAATCTAAAAAAAAAAATAGAGTAAATCTACTTTAAAATATCAAGCAAATATAGGAGAATAATATACTTTCTATTAGCTTAGAATCAAAAGAAACGTTACTTTATAAATACAATACAAAGCAATACTCATGATATAAAAATTCTACACTCAATTCCTGATTTATGCATCGAATTAAACATTAGAAGTTTTACATTTATCATGAAATCATAAAAAAAATATATTGGTCATACCAAATTGTACGATCTCACTCCTATCATAACAACAGGGTAAGTTTATTTATAAATTCACGAGAAAATGAATCTCACCTCAGATCTCACCGTCTATACTATACTACTTCATGCGAGTCTGTAAGCTTTGTAAAGTTTAGGATGACTTCTCACAAACATGTATTTATATTCATTGCATAACACTAAATTAAAAAAAGCAGACTTCCTCCTTGGAGACATTATGATCATAAATTGTCCATCTTTTTAAAACCAACTTTCTAATCTATACATTCCTTTGTATCATCATAGAGAGTACATTCATCTATAACCTTTCTCAATAAATCATAAGATTCCACAATTCACCACTAAGAATAAATCAATACATACCACCTAATGTTACCTTGAGAGTGATACCCAATCAAAGAGCTCTCTAGAAAAAAAAGATCAAATTCATGGCCAACGGTTTGAGGTTTTTTACTCAGCGATGAGCTCTTGTGCCCAACAGTGAAACCAACGCCCAACACATCATGCCCTAGAACTCTCTAGAATTTAAATTTTAATGGTACTTGAGCAGCACTCAATGCTAACTACCCTTGGAGTCATTGTCAAGTGAGCAAGTGATAATCCCAAAGTGTCACCCAACCCTATGGCCACTAGAGCTCACTAACTTGGCCATTTCAAAGTGGTGTCTAACGATATATACTCAACACTTAATGCCATATCACCATTCAAAGAAAACAAAACAATTTAGCATGTGCAATTGGATCAATAGGTCTCTTTTACTTTTTTTTATACTCTCAAGCAATTATCACTTCAGTGCAAATAAAATATATCCTTATAAGCTAATTGTTCAACCAAGTATCAGTTCAGTCCACGACCATGATGATGAGAGTGGTGAACCTGGAGATGGAAATAGCGAGGATAAAGCACAATAAAAGATACAAGAAACTCCAAGGCCTCTTTTATCATAATATTTGTGTCACTTTCTTTTAACTTTTTCTAACATGTGCTTACGTTTAAAGATGATTATTGCATCTCCAAAAGCCTCAAGAGGGACGGTTTTTGCTCCATTGATATTTTAGAGGTTCTTATTTGTTCACTTTTTGTTATGTCTGTTCAATTTACTTATATTTGCAAGTTTTACTCTAACAAAATGACTCTGTGATTGGTCGATGCACTAAGTGACGTGGAGTTAAGTAGAAATCTTTTGTGACAGAAAATATTTGGAACTATTGACCAATATATAACAAGAGATAAAGGGGTTGTTTGTTTTAGTTTCGTAATTGATCTCGACTTCAAGATTTGAATATGTAATTGGTTTATAAAAGAAACTTTACCCACATTGAAATCTCGTAAGAAATGAAGTATAGAACTAAAGAATTATCTCTTGAAAAAAATTGCAACAGTTTTGCAAGTAAAAACAACTCTCATTTATATTTTATTTTAAATTAATTTTAGTCGATCATATTTAACTTAAATTAACTTTANGTCACGTGATTAATAAGCTCCAAGAAAATGATATCAAACTCTTCTCTCGTCAATGTTTTCAAAGTCTCCTGCAAAGTCCTACACATAAGTTGATCCGTAGCCAACGTCAAAACGCAACCCCGAAAATTGTTGAACCATTGGAGGCGCCTTTCATCAAAACTAAACCCCAGAATATTGAAACCATTACCACCTAAAATACCACCATTCAAGAAACCGTTGTCAGAGGTCTTCTGCGACATCATCCCATTGGAGGAGAATGGTACAACAGGATAAACACCACTGAATGTGGGATTTTCTATTTGTCTCGTCAATGGTTTGGAATCAAGACACCCATCAGCATGACAAGAATAATTATTAAAAGTGAATGTGGGGTGCCAAAGATTGGCGGTCTGAGAAGTGGGAATCCCACCAGCCCAACTGTTGTAAGGGTGAATCTTTGAAGAACCATTGATACCATAAGGACTGTCGGCAACAAAATCAGAATGTGGGTAGTTGAAAGGAGAGGCGGAATGTGAGTAGTTGAAAGGAGAGGCAGAAACACAAAGACGAGAAAAAGCATCTTCTAGGGTTTGGGAAGGGTTATGGGATTGCGAGAAAAACCGAGACAGCCCCGCAGGTTGTTGAGAAGACGAGGAGACTGACTGATCATTTTGAAATGCAGACGATGATGATCCATGCGACATCATTGGGAACGAAAGGAATTGATGAAAGAATAAGAAGGATTTAAAGAAAGGGGTTTTAGAAAAAGGAATTAAGGATTTTTATTATTTGCTGAAAAAGTGAAAGGAAAAAGGAATTAGGGTGAGAAAGAGGGAAGAAGAAGAGTGTGTGTGGGAGGTGAGGAGGCAGTGTTGTTTAGCTGAGTAAAGAGAGTCTTCCAATGGGTAGCGTTCTGCATGCAATATATAGTAAAATTACATGCGAGAAAACCCAAAAGAAACTACTGCTTCGGCAGCTTTGGATGCGAACTCGTGTACCATAGTTTCTTTCTCTTATATATCCTCACTTTTTTTTCAAATATAACCTCTTATTAGTTTTATAATATGAAATTGCATATTTTCAGTGTACGATAGCAAGAAATGTTTCAAATTTTCCTTTCACATATTATAAGATTTCATTATTTAAATATATTTTTATCCTCCCAAATTAACTTGATCTATTCTCATAATTTCTTCATCAAAATATAGAAATTAATCCTCTAACAAACATTCTCACTTTGTAGTTGTTAAAACCATTTTAAAACTAACTTCATTCCTTACTATAAATAAGATTTATTGTTTCTTCTGTGAACTTCTTCACTTGTGTAACCAAATTTGAATTTTGTAAAGATACAATAAATGTGTGATCGCTTTTAACATTTATTAAAAACTATAAAATAATTTTTAAAAAAATACTATGTACTATTGAATAGTATGTTTTCTCCACTTTGCCTAAGTATATATACTTTGTTTTTACAACGCCCTTTCTCTTGAAAAAGCAATATAAAAGTACACAGTCTCTTTTAATCTTTAAATCTATAAAAAAAAATCAATTTATTAAAATAAGTTTTTAAATAAAATTAATATTAAAAATTGTATTAATAGTATTATAAAATAAATAAGTAAATAAATATTAATAATATAAAGTTAGTTTTTATTTTGTTTTAGTATATTTCAAATATATACACAATAATTTATCGATTCCAATCCAGATGGCTGACTGTTTTCTGATATATTTTTTTAATTTGGGTCAAACTCTGCCCAACTAAGAATACACAACT